CCATTCGAACTGCAACAATGTATTCGTGGGAATTCTCGCAACGTGTAACCGAGCTTTGTGATGCAAGAGGATGACTTTGCGTCTGTTAATTGCAATATATCGTCCAGTTTGTTCAACTGTCGTCGGCAGACATGTGCACTAACAGTTTCATCCGGTTTTAGTGGCTCGTAATGCACTACAACTTGCTGATCCCATCATATGCACAGCAAAACTTTATGGCCATGAACATTTCACATCGATGTCGATGTGGATGGCTCTCCTGAATTAACCCATGACTTGTTACCCTTGGCCCACTTTTCTTTGCCAGTCGCAATACGCCACCGAAAACACTCCTGCCCTGATTACCCTGGCAAGCAATGAAACCGCATTGTTGAAACGGTTCCAAATTATTTCATTTTAAGTTGGTTCGCATGGTAGCCATTTTCTCCCCGTTTGAATTTTTTCCATCGTATGTAAATGCCTGTAACCAGTTAATCCAGCAACTGCTAAGCTGTTTGAAAATTCTTTGAGACTTTGAGCTGTGTTTTCATCCAATAGGTCTTTCAATTCGCTGTCTTCGAACTTTTCTGGTCCTCTATACTGACACTTGGGAGATGATAGAGCATCATCACAATAGGCTTCCAAAAGTGTTTGATGGGCGTCGGCAACAGATTTCTTCGAATCAAACAACAAAAGCAATGAATGTCGATGTTGAAGTTTTGAGCGCTCCATGCTTAGCGGCTGTACACACTGAATAACTGAGTAATACTAAGTAGAAAACTTCCATTTTATGTCGACAAAGATCAAAATCATCAAATCCTACCAATGTGTGCTTTGGTACTTTGCATTAATTTATCACATTGACCAATATATGTCGCTGATCAAAATACATGCATTTACATACATATATAATGTAACCCATTTTTTTGACTATTTCAAAATGCTTAATGGATCAGTATTGAACTTATTAGCGTTAGTGGAAAGGTACGAAACGTTGCTAGTGGAGAAGGTATCATATCAGAAAGTTTAGATTAGTCTGTAACTTTTCTTGTTATCATTGATATCATCATTTAAGAAGACTTCTTGCAGTTTTAAAGCTTTGATTAGATTTTTTGATTTCACGTCAACCACTTTCAACACACACTCGCTTACGGCGCATTTTGCTCTAGAATCTGCTTGGAAAATAACATCTTTTTCGTTCATTTAATACGTGGACATCTCGTTACTGTTTGCTTCGCTTAGGGTTTCATTGTGGTGAGTGTACACCTTTCAAATCAGGAGAGTGAAGCATTTAATCATGGATCAGTATATCATTTATGAAAATTTTCAAATTATCCACAATGCAAATAAGCAAAAAAATTAGGCGACAAGGACATATATGAAGTTTGTACGGGCGTATGTAACACAGAGGAGTGCTTGGAATAGACCCACCTTTTATTGCATCGATCGATTGAGAATCTATCTACGAAAGAAGAATTAAGCTTCTTTGCCCGTCTATCCGTCTGCCCATGTGTCTCTCTGCCCATCTTGTTTTTACTCTATCTATGAAATACTAAAACAAGTTCTTTGGTAGCTAAAGTAATATGTAGTCACGGTGCTTAATATTAGTCTCTGCAGGAGTCCAGTACACCACCTGCTATACAAGGGCATATAAAGTTTGTGCAGGCGTATGCAATACACAGCAGGACTTGAGATAGACCCATCTTTTATTGCACCGATCAATCACTGAGAATCACTTTCCAGATCGAGCTAAGCTTCTCCGCCCGTGTGTCCGTCTGCCCATGTGTCTGTCTATCCATCTTGTTTTTACTCTATCTATAACATAGTAAACTAAGTTCTTTGGTAGCTAGAGGAATATACAGTGACGTTGCTTAAAATTAATTACTGCACGAGTCTCGGACAACGGCGACTACAAACAGGACAAAGTTTCTTGCTCATAACGATTATGTTGTTTATAAACGATTTGCCATTTAGTCATACAACGAAACGTTGATTTAAGTGATGGCAAGCAGCTGCACTGTAAACACGATTTATACGAAAGGAGCGAATAGTCTGAAAAAATTGATTTATTATATTCAGGGAAGATAACGTTATATGTTTGGAGGCATTAATAATGATAATAGTATTAAAAATTATCTTAACTTTTAATTATCCATGATTTCATCTAGTAGCTATATGTGAATAATGGAATGTAAATTTTGAAATTGTTGCAAATATCTTTAAATAAAGCAAAGAAAAAATATATATAATCATTATTAGCTTTTAGTATAAAATGTAAATTTGCAAAAACCTACAAACGCGAAAATTTCAATTTATATTTGCACATGTTCTGACATATATATATGCGCACAGGCGAGTATGTATAATAATAAATATAGACCTAAAAAAAAAAAAAAAAAAAAAAAAAAAATTATGGCAAATTAAAAAAAAATGATAAAAATACTCAGAAGAAACTGAGTTATTCAGTCAACTGTGCAACCGCTTACATATATATATAGATATATATATATAATATACATAACGTAACGTATATGTATACATTTTAAAAAGGAAAAGCTTTATAATAAAAAAAAGTTTTTAAAATTATATTCACGAAGTAAAACAAATATACTCAAAATATTTCAAAGTTTCACCTGCCAAAGAAAATGCGAGAATATATTTAAAAAAAAAATAAATAAAAATAAAACAAAAAAAAAAAAAACACTCATTCATGTCATTATTTTTCCAAGACAACCCACACAAATTTATCAGCAGATGGACCAAAAGACAAACGAGCAGAGAGACAGAGAGACGGAGAGACATTCTTAGCGTAGAGTCCCTTGTTTTGCAACTCATTTTTCGTTTTTTTTTTTTCATAATA